TAAGGCAATGAGTTCAGATTGGTTAAAATTTACCACCTTATGTCACATAGATTAATAGACGGTCAGTTTCATAGAGTTGTTACCTTTTCTTGTTATCATCCTTCTCTTAAGCTATTTACTAGCTTCAAAAGTACCTTGACCTATGAATAATGGGATCATGAGTCATCTTTCATCAGCTGATCCTTACATTCACAGCTTTAATTTTATTTCCTATTACCTTTACAATTAGAAATACACAAAAAAAGAGTTAATTAGCATACAAAAGCAGATTGATTGTTAGTATAATCGCCATTAAAAAAGCCATTGCCATGCTAATAGGATTAAGCAATTGATTATTTACTCTAATGGAACCACTTTGCAGAAAGAATTACGCATTTATTGAAGTCATTAAGTGATAAAGCTCAGAGTAGAATCACAATCTTGATTGAATGCATTCTTGATTACAATTTTAATGAATATTTAACATGGTAAATCCGTAGACTAGACCGGATTGATTATAATTATAGTAGTATTTATAAGCTTTATTAGAAATGTCATTACTATGCTACTAGGGTAACCAATCGATTATTTGCTTCAATAGGGCTAATATACGAAATAGGATTATATATTGAAATCAGTAGATAATAGAACTCAGAATGGAATCACAATTTAAATTGAGTGTATTTTTGATTACAATTTTAATGAATATTTATCAATAACAATCTTTAACTCTCGTTCTTCTCCATTCTCTATTGTTCTCTTTTCGTGGTTATTATCACGTACCTTTTTCTTTTTACAAACTCTATGCCATTAGGAAATCTACAGCCTATAAATTTAGCATAGCAGTTACTAAGAGTTGTTGCTGCAGCCCATAACAGGCAATTTCCTATTCTATTACAGTCCTAGGCTAGTCATTCTTTCAATAAACCGAGAGTATCATCATAGTGAGTATACTATAAAGGTAAACTGCATCCAATCGCTTTATTCTGTCACTTTGGTTGTCATTCCTGGAATAGATGTAGCATGTTGTAGGAAAGTAATATAACGAATTCATTGTGGTTATTCAGGATTAAATTATACAATATAGGTTAAAGCATGGCTGTGGAATTGATTGTAGTAGATGGAAGCGATCATGAAGTTATTCCATCTCCAACTAAATAATTACGAATTTTCTATCATAGTTCAATGTCTTAATTAAAGGAGTAAAGTATTGAATTACTTCAATTAAAGCATGGCGTTATCATCTGATTAACCCATAGAAATTAAACCTAAACTAGTCATCAGTCCTTTATTCTTGGACTGCTATATTATTCTTTCTTGACATAGTCTTCTGAATATTGCTTCATTAATATAGCAATACGATTGAAGAAGTTTAGTACACAATTGATGGTCTATACGTTACATTATGGAACCGCATAATTACAAATTGCCTTATAGTTTAATGTCTTAAAGGAGTACATGGCAGAATTATTTCAATCAAAGTATACCGCAATGATCTATTTAATCCACTGAAACTAAATCTGAACTAGTCGTCAGTCCTTTGTTTCTGGATTACTGAATTATTCTTTCTTTACATAATCTTCTGGATTATTAATCAGCCCACAGAAATTAAATCTAAGCTAGTCGCTAGTCCTTTATTCCTGGGCTACAGTATTTTTTCTTTTCATACTCTTTGGATTATTAATTAGCCCACAGAAATTAAATTTAAACAAGTTGTCAGTCCTTTATTCCTAGATTATTGTATTATTCTTTCTTTACATTTCCTTCCGATTATTGATTAATTGAGATTACATTTTATCCCTTTTCACCACTATTAATTTTTCTTGCATGATTCACAGTCGTTGAAATAATATTGGCATTTCAATAGATAACTTTCCAAGCACAAATAAAAGCCCATAGTTAAAACTCAAAGTAATTTATCGTTTTGAAGAAATGAAGCTTTAATTCTACTATTTAGGATTACTTCAAGCTATTGATTTAATGATATCATGCTTCCAATACAACGAACTATTATTAGTTTTCCGGATATTGACAGGGTAGTTTAGCACTATAAGCATAAATTAAATTCTAATAATCAAGATTATAACTAGATAAGTGGTATATTGATGAAGTTTTAACACTATAAATATCAGATTAAATTCCTATAAAATACATCATAATTGGTTATGTGGTATATGGATGAATTTTTTCTATAACGGTTAATATCTATTTTTTGCATATCATCCTGCATTAAATAGACTTGATGTACGAAATGTCAAGTCTTCATCCACCGATATGGCAAAAGATTTTAGACATTAAGAGCAGTCATTCATCAATAACGAGATCTAAATCAAATAGTTCATATTATTGTACTCTTACTAGTAAGTGTCTTTACCTATATTTCTCTCTCTTTCTTGCTAAAATCTTATCGAATAATAATGATAATGTCCTATAAAGCAGTAATAATGGCAAACGGTGAATATTGGATAGGTCAATAAACATCAATCACACGTTTAATTGTAGCTGCACATTTATGAGTCATTATACATAAAAGTATCGGTTGTTATATAAACGGGATCAATGACCATTAGCCTATTATTGTCCAACTCAAAGACATCATTTATTAGGTAATTATGAATACAATAATTACTATTCTATGAAAAGCTAACTATTTCCTAATTGATTTTATGATCACTTAATCAGAATAGCGATGCAATTGAAGAGGTTTAGTATCCAATTGATGGTCCATGCGTTACATCATCTAATCAAACATTGGACTTTATGTCAAAATATCAATCATGAGATGAACAGACAAGGTTGTATTATGAAAGATATAAACAGTAGGACTATTTTCATGGTGTAATTTCTTGATAAGATTATAATAAGACACTATATTGCTCTATTTCTATATGATTCATGTTCTAGTCTAGCATTATTAGGACTGGAGACAAACGTGCTATATAAGCGAAGATCATTTATTGGTAAATCACAATTAGTGAATAGAAGATGATTTTGTTCGTTCTAGCTTTAGCCATCGTAACCATTTATAAAGAAAAAAACATAAATTGAAATTATTTTAAATTTGGTAATCGATACTAAGCTATCAATGATAGATTGTTAGCGTAAATGGTATAAACACTAAGTCTATTAGTTTTATATTGATTAATAAGTCAATTTATCGTTCTTGCAGAAGAATTTCATTAAGAATGTGACTTAGACTGAATACTACGGACATTGCCAAATCATATTTCATGGCTGTAAACATTGATCACAGTTATCATATAGAGATCAAAGTTTAAAAAGTGTTACATGCACTCCGCACTCTGCACACTTTGCACTTAACACTCCACGCTTTAAGCCCTTCGATTTGGTGCTTGCTTTAAGCATGGAGTTCTTTTGCCTTGCTACTCCTTAGCAATGTTAATAATAGCTCTTTTAAATCCAGTAATAGTCTCCTGAAGCGGTTATTTTAAATATAATTCTTTTTACTCTGCTATTCATGAACAATATTAATCATAATTTTTATGTCCAGCAATAGTCCCCTTAAAAGGTTTTATTCTACCAAATGACCCTAAAATCAAACACTCATAAATCAATCAATTGGTAAGCTACGTAGACGTACACCGTAAATTAAGGATTAGATTAAATTTTCACCAATATGTTTATCACAGTATCTCTAGATTTTTAGTAAAAATTGCGATCGATTTTATGATAATGATCAAGTGAAGGAATTTGATATTACCATAACAGAGAATTTGCGTTCGAGCTCGTAAAATTAACCCTGAATTATTACGCAATCAAATGTAAATACACTTGCAATTATATGCTTTACAATACAAATTTACTACGGACGAAATGTGAATATTAGCATAGAAGGTTCATTTTTTACTGGTAAAGCTTCAATCAGTATTATTTACCTTATTAATTTTAATAATTGCTAGTTTGTTCATATATCATATATGGACAATGTCCATTATAGCCAATAGATGTACGAACACATGCATTAGTCAAGGTCATAGATAGAATTGAATAGTAAGTAAGATAGATTAAAGATGCAAGTTGTAACTTTCAAATCTTTACTAATATGTCTCGAACTAAATGGCATCAATTTACCTTGCTGAGGTGATTATCCACACTAGTGTTGGTAAACAACACTAAATTTAAAATAACAGGCTCCCATCAAACATGAAAGGAAAGCTTGTTTACCCTTCGCCTGCACTGTTCATGGAATTTATGAGTCATCCTGCGTTTGTTTAAACTTTGATTCATTAGTTTATTTAATCGGAAACATTAAGTGATGCTACTAATTAATCGTGTCAACCGAAGCCATGCTTTATTTTTAATAAAGAACAAGACAGGCAAAGTATTAGTGGGTAAGTAATATAATATTCCTTTATCATTCAAAGCACAATTTTTTGGCATACGTGCTACGGGTTTCATAAATAAACGTCTGAAAAGATGGCAATAGGAATTATCCTACTATTTCAGCTATCTTTTCCTTGGATTAAATTATAGACATATAATCCAAATCTTAGTCTTTGGAAAAATAAGTTTTAGATTACGAAAATACAATACCAACATCAAGATTGAATAAAATATTGATATTTACTAGTAAGGTAGATGCTTGTTAATACGAGCGTGGACTCCTATATGCCACAGGTAACAAAATCAATAAAATAGATATGTATATTAACAAACAGATACACAAACTCACTGTTTTTCGATATGTAATATCATAAAATTCAATTAAAAATATCAGAATAAAAGGGTACCACGGATAATTTAAATAATTATTTTGTATCATATACATTCATTTATTGTTGATGTTGGCTAAATTAGAAGGGTTGATAATGATTATCTGAATTATGATTGCGGTTATCATGCTAATTTCAATTCATACCCTTAAACAAATAATTCAATGATAATTAATCGAAACAAATTCAATTTTAAATTCAAGCTTCTTTTCAAAGAGTTGCATTCTCTATTTATATTACCAGTATATATTGTACTAACAACCAATATTAGATATTGCTTTGTTGTTGTTACTTGCAATGATATTTATATGGTGACCTTGATCGATGCAAATCACGATCATATTCCATTTTACATTTTCGAACTGACTTGCTATAGATCCAAGTACATCGTTGATTTGATGAATGATAAGCACATGTACTATGCAAAGCATGACAATCTGTTGATATAACTACGCTTGAATTCAATGGACAGTGACTAAAAGCCATCACCTTAGGTTTCCACAGGCATTCATTCTTGTTGGCTGTACACAATTTCTTTTTATCCTTGTTATTTTCTACATTATGACATAATTTAATATTGCAACGATGACAATTATCGTTGTAAGCATGTCGTAAACCAAATCGCTGCTCACGTGTGATATTATGCCATGGGGCATAGAATCCACATTGTTTCAAAATTAAATGTTTCCTGTCTTGGCTAAAAGAGCCAAATATGACGTAGGTTGATTTAGGTTGTAGAGTAATAGCTGATTTGCTAGCGACAAGAGACTGCTCAACTTGTAACTTGACATTCTTCTGCCACATGTCAAAACCAATAGAATTGGATCGATCAAGAAAGAATTTTTTAACGTGGATTTTGTAGCTTGTAATTTGAATTGGATTCGCAATATCGTTGGTCACAGTTATTTTACCCATTGAGATTATCCTAGCCTTAATAGCTATATTAATAAAAAATATAAAGAAATATAGATACATGAGATCATTAGCCTATACAATCACATCATCAAAATTGGCTATAGCAATGTGTAGATTATTATTCTAACAGTTCCATTTAGAAAGTAATGTAATATATCAATATTTTGATATTGCCATCATAATAATGATAATTCTATCATCTATAAACTGGTATTTTATCAAGTAGAATTATTTATAAAAATTTATAGTAGAGTTATGCTTCAAATAAAGTTCAATCTCTGGTTGGAAATACTATTGAGACCAATGTAACTACAAATTTCTGATCTCAATAACGTCTTTCAATATAGGGAGTTCGATTATATTATATTAATATTGGATCAAGTAGTTGTTAAGTCGCGGCACATCAAAAGGCTTTCTATGTACTACGCTATATTCTATATGTTGCTGAAAATTTACATCTTTGATCTATTTCAAAGATGATATAAAAACGCTATAGAAGACAGGAAAAAGTTTTTGTCAATTTTATTTTATATTTACCGAAATCAGACAGGCAAAATAACGTCTGGGGATGCTGATACTTGCAGCTTTTGTTAGCATTGAGGCATGTTACAACGGTAGCTGCCACCAGAATAAGCGCTGGACACATAAAGTTAGTTGAGAAGGCCATAGCTTGAAGATGTGATGAGTAAATTATGCAGGTGTTATCGATAAATTGTCGCTGCTTAAATAATTTAGAGACTCGCTCAGCCCATGTTATATATCCTCCCTGTCGGTAAATTTACATTTCTAAATTTGATTATTGCTTTACATATAATATGGGTTCCTTTTATCTAATGACTCATATGCGTATCTCCCACCTTATCAAGTAATGATCCAATTTTTGTCATTGTTTAATAAACTATAAGATATGCAATTTTATGGTAACATAACATATCAAACAATGCTCGTATGGTTTGTAAATAAAAATTGCTAATTTTAGAAGTATATTTAACAGAAATCCAAGTGTCAATCAAATAGACTTAATTATCCAACAATTACAGTTCAACATTGTTGTGATTTTCTAGGAAAATCATGATAAGGTGATAAAGTAATTTCAAAGTCAAAATAGAATTATTTGCTGCTATTCAATTATAGCAATAGACATAAAAAACATCAATGTATTTCTTTGTAAGATAAACTGATACAGGGGCTTGCGTTATTAGCTCAGTTGCTTCTTGAAAGTGATGAAATAATTGACATGAGAATTTCATCACCTCGTAATAATGCTAAATTTACTAGCCATAGCATTTATTTTGAGGTAAAGTTTAAAATGCTTTTAATTTTCTTGATGAAAAGTTATTGTTAATATTGTATTCCTATGTTCACATATCAGAATATATCTTTAGTTTCAGTCTATGGGTTCGAAGTTATGATATTGCTCATTTATCAACCTCCTCGCTTGATAATTAGTTCAACACTTTAGATGGTGTTATTACTTTGCAAGACATCGCAAAGGACTACTGCGATAAAATTATCCTGTCAACTTTCGAAATATTTTACGAGGATAGTTTCTTTACCCGTATTCATTGAACATATTTGAAGTGACATTAGCTATGGTCTAATACAGCGCTCGATTTTTAATTAATTATAAATAAAATATAATCTAAGATGCCATCTGATTAGCTCGGCTTTTTAGAAAAATATCGATATGTACCTTACAGATTACACCAGACAAAGACTATTATTAAGCGATAACGTACTAATCATACTATGCCTTAACAAATGTAATCTCTAATTTACTTCTATAGAGCTTTGATAAAATATTTGCTAATAGAAATTTTATAATGATGCATTGTAATGCTAATAAATATACTCTGCCAGTAGTAGGCGGTTACGCTTTAGTGCTTGATTTCTTAAACAAGCTAAAATATATAATTGTCAAAAGCCCACATGATAGTAAGTGCATATCAGCTTGTATTATCCATTTGATTTTATTCAATTTTTACAGAAAGTTGCATAAAGCTATGACTATGAGTAAAGCGAAAATGAATCTATATGACATCAATCCAACTCATATAATTAAGAAAATCCATTAATTTCTATATCAAACACTACGTTTAAAATAATATTTATTGTATCGTACAAATATATAAAAGATTTAAATCTTTAATAAGATAGAAAATTGTTGCATAGGGTAAATGAATTTTTATGCAAGAAGTAAAAATTTCCTGTTTATACGAGTATACTAGAAAATTGTTCCCAAAGCTTCGAACCAAGATACCAATGTTGGATCAGTAAGCGTGCAAATTTTAAATTCATCAAAGGACAACCTAGCCAAAAGATATTATGAAATATGGCTTAAAATAAAAATGAATCGAATCAGGACATAATTAACTGCTCCATCATTCATTTAAGATATTACCTGCCATCCCTATTAAGATCGCCATGACGAAAAACGTTTTCTACCATCTCATCAATAGCATCTTGTGACATGGCTTCCATAACCGGCCACATGCTTTCTCTGTTATTTAAAATTGATTAATTGTAGTTAATTTATGACAACAATGAAACATACCTAAATTACTTTTTAAAAATAATATTTCATATGGCATTTTAACCTTTTTCCGTAAAAACTGGATTGATTGTCAGGAAGCTTTAAAACCTTCTCTTTAGAACTAACACTTGGGCCAGTATTGACAGGGATTGGCGAATTGAAAAATGATGATACAGGCTTTCCATGCATGTCATCGATATCATAGGGCTACATGCATATAATCGTAAATGCAGTCATCGAAAAAAATAAGACAATATATTTCATCAATACAACAAAGTTATTCTAGAGTTTGTATTAATCCTATAATATTAGCTACTAAGAAAAATTGCACTGGAGTAGCTACCCTTAGATATTAGCCATTTTATGTTACAAATTAGCACGCTAATAAAACTAAATATTGTCAAAAGGTAAACAATTTTAACTCCACCACTATTGACAATGGCTATGAAATAATAGGGTGTAATAATGAATCACTATCAGTAAAATATATACCATTGAATCTTCACATCCTTTTACGACATCCCGTACTAAATCAATTGTAACACCAAAGTAAGCCTAAAAGAAATTTTAACACCGGAACAAGATAATACCATTACAAATGATACAGATATACAGTAAATCATTACCAGCTCAAGAAATCTATTTGTGTATTGCAATAGTGTATTAGATAATAGTATCATAACAAACCTTAAACATTCGTCTTAAATTTTCTTTACTTATGTAGCCAGACCCATCTAAATCATAGCCAGTAAATACGTCTAAACATACAGATAGCCATATTTATAAAATGCAATCTCGATAGCTTATAGTCATTTTAGTTATCATAAATACGCCTTTCACATTTTAGCTTTTCATCCAAATTCCCTTTAATAAGAATTGAGAGGCCGTGAACAAATTCATTAAAATCGATATAACCATTACCATTTCTATCAAAAAACTTTATCAAAAAGAATGAGTTTTAAATTGTACATTTCTTTAATTTAGACTAGTTTATATCTAATTCTTTTATATGTACAATATTATTGGAACAGGAAAACCTCATAGATAATTTTTTTTCTACTATATTGACTTTACCTTAAATAAACGACTCATAACTAGATTTGCTTTACGCCCAAGTGGGCCAAGGCATAAATTAAACACCTCCCGTGATATTCCTTTTACATTATCAGTAAGGACTGAAAACTGTTCGTAAAGGCCATTAATTTCTGATAAATCAACTAGGAAGACAACATAATAAAGAATAAAGTAATTATCAACACTATACTGACGAAAACTCAATGCGATGAACATTATTGGTACAGAGTATAAACAGAGAAAGCTCACAATGAGTGGATTTTTTGTACAACGCAATGTCCTCCCGCAGTAAAGAATGCTTGACCTTATGTGATCCTATAATTATTTTTTTAACAACATGATGAAATTATGTAATTGACTCTAATACAACTAGCTATAATAAAAGCACTTTTTTTCTCACGCAACCTGGATACAAAGGTGAAAGTAGAGCGTTACGAGGATTTATTAGTGAAGGAATAGGAATTTTGATTTTCAAGAATACATGCATTTTGTTATGATTATCCTGTTAAAATAAAGAAATGATTGAATGGGCATTTACATAGAACCATGCTATTTATTGTATTTGCTAAATTTTATTCATCGTTGAACCTACCTTGCTTTCACATCGTTCGCAAACATCATAATCGCTGCAGTTTGCACACTAAAGAAATAAAATGGTAATTAAAATATATATTCACATCCACGTGCAAAATAAACTTTTAATTTTACGATCCGCCAAGTTTTAGCTAAAGCTAACTTTACACGTTAACCATTAACTTTTCAATATATTAACCTTGTACCGGATACCACAGATCGGATTCATTCCACAAGAATTGCACACAATTCCACGATGACTAAAACCATCTATCGTATACAATGAAAATTGTAAATAAATTCAAGTCAGAGTCTAATTTTTGACAATAAATAGCTAATCAGGCATAGCATTATTAATAATTGATATTGCCGCACCTTTAACAGCTTTATCATCTGCAATGCAATAGAGTAAACTTAACAAGTTTTGATTATACATTGGTTGCTGTGAATTTATAATAAGAATAAATTAGCAGATTAATGACACAAGTGTTAATTATGATATTTACTTATTTCTAATCTCCGTCAGATCAAATGTTACCAATAAAGCTATTACCAACAATAATAATCTATTTTAATTCGAAAACAAAGCCTGTTAATGTTATATTGTAACCTTGACGTTGTCCTATCATAATCAAGACGATACGCGGGAGTGTCATAGCTTATTTCATATATCTATTGTCATGTCTTTTTCAACTGATGTCAACAATGCTGATCAACCACATGTCGGTACTAACTGAATAAATGATTATCCATTGAAGCGTATACGTTTATCTCGATGGTACTTTTCACGCACGGCAAATAATTGATAGTCATCTAATACTAAGCCAGATACTATCTTGAAAGTTTTATGATATTGATCTGTCAAATAAACAATGATTACGCTATGCAAATGCGCGAGCAAAATTGTCAGATTAACCAAATATAGGGTTAAAACAGGGGCAATGTTACGATAATTTTATAGTCTTACAGCTATAACATTTTTAAATTTAAACTTGTATGTGAACAATACTGATTATACATAAAAGACTAGTTGAACTGAGTAAAATTACTGTGAGCTCAATAAAATGTATGATAGTTTTGATATCCAGACAGTAAAAGAATGAAAGATATGACTATAAATTATTTGCAGTATTAAGATATCCTGGCCACGATTAATGGTTATTACTACCGCGAGCAAACATCCTTTTATGCTTTAGATAATAGTTTGCTATAATAAAGGATTCCATTGAATTGGTTATAATAACAAGTTAATAACTTTACGGATTATAATACCGTAATTACTGCAGATCCACATAGTCTAATACTTCATGAATAGAAGAGAGTAATTATAAGAAGTACAATCAGACAGACAGTAATGGCAATGTTTTCAAACTTAAAGTTATGATATAGTACTATTGACGATAACTAATATGAGATACTGTGAAAATACAGCCATCGTATATAGCCAATCCAATATTATTGGTCACAACTATTTAATTAAATCATAAGCAATGTATTGACGTATAGCATGTTGTGGGCAGCAAATAGAACTACGCAGGGCAAGATAGTAGCCTAATTGTTGTGATAATAATCCATTATAGAATTAAATGCTTCTGTTGCTATGGCTTATTGATTCAGTGGTGTGAATAAGTTACAAGAGCAATAAGACAGGTAGATGAACATTGCCAAAGTACGGTCAATCATCAATAGTAAACATAGATGAGTAATTCAATAGCGATCGCATCTTTGATAGCAAATGCTGGTTAAAATTGAACGTGATAAAAAAATAGAGACCATTGAATTTCATTTTACGATAAAGCTTAAATCAAGAAAGTTCAAATTGTACTTTACAAATTGATCCACATTACAAAGAAGCTTACTAAGGTCAACCAGGTTGCTATTAATAGATATTGCGAAATAACTGATTGTTTAATGTTCGATATAGCGTAACTAAAATTATTATTCGTTTCAGGCCAAAGAATAGAAAGCGCACCGGTATCAAACTCTATCGCAAGATATATAATTATGACCTTCAATATTAGTTTAATATGTTAAGATACAATTAAGCTTGCTAACGTTTAGTTTAAAGCTTTCGAGAAACAAGTGTAAGAAGTTATAGCAATGTTATTACCACTTTTAGTTTAGTATACAAGGTCATACTAAGAAAATTGACCAATTTTAAGTGCTGTATACAGCTATGGTAGCTAATGTATGATAGATTTGATTTTTCTTGTAAACGTCGACTATAACAGCGTTGCTAATAAGAAGAATGCTGCAATTATCATGTTTACTTTACTTGATTAAACATTCTGAAACTCTAGTCATAACAATTTTTTCGAAACGTACGAAATGATGAGTGCCATTCATAAAATGAAAAACATTCAAGGCTATAAAAATCTAATGAATATATTACAATAGATTAGCTATTCACATTATGCTACTATTGCTAAGTAACATGGACAACTTTGATCATAGACTTAACAGTGATGGAGATGACCAAAGTATTATACATACATACAATGTCGCTAAAAGATTTTACGGAAATTTTCAAAAAGTTAAAAAAGAGCTAATTTTAAACTGTTGTCAGTCATAGAATTGAATACCTAACATTAAGATTGCTGTTGAAATTGTTCAATTAATACATTAGTAAAATATTTTATTACCGTAGGATTTGCTGATTCACCAGGGTTGTTGAAAGCAGTATGATTTGGCACCGTATTAATGCGATTTCCCTCATGAAATTGATTGCGTACAGCTTCTGCAGTTAGAGTAAAACGTCCATTTTCATTCGCATGAGCTGTCATTTGATTCAAAAAACATTAAAAATATTGTCAGACAATATCCATTGGAAACAAAAGTCTCATCGCGAAGCTTTTACTTTAGTCTGTAATTAGAATTATAAGTTAGCGGAAAGCAATGTCATTCCAGTCACTATCTTGCTGGGAAATTAAGCAATATTATGAATTATCGATGAGGTGTATGAGAATGAGTGCATTGCGATAAAGTTGCACAGTTGTTTAGGCATGTATACTTTTAATTTCATTTTTTTAATATTGGCATCTGCAATCTGTAAGGCTTACTCACAATATGGGCTAGGAATGGAAGATCACAGTGCATTGATGATTTAATATCAATAAGTTATTGGTGCTAATATTACTATGAATAAGCTAACATGATATATAAAATCTCTTCGGAAATGTTACTCATCCGCAAAAGGTGTCATGTGAATACAGTGCAGAAACAATATCATCAAGAATAGTAAGATATAACTATCCTATGTTATGTCAATTCTTTCCTACTAGTGAATTGTAACAAGATCATTTGTTGGATAAAGTAATATGGTTCAATTTTCCAGTATGATAGCAGGTGCAACCACTACCATGTACATCAATGTTGTTCAGGATAAGATTTAGACTACCGTCAGGGTTCAATTAGTAAAGTTCTAGTTCACTGTATTGTTTTTGATAGACTGGCATATACGAGTAATATCTATTTGTAAGCTATAACAATATCATTTCTTATATACTTTGTAAGATTCATTTTTAACTCTCACTCTCACTGTAATAGCTTGAAGCGAGTGGCTACCGCGATAATGAATTAATACGTGTGTGGGTATACGCGTCTGTAATAAGATAGAGATATCAAGATGGATTATTCTAAGATAGAACTGTTAGCTAGATCGATTCTATCAATGTAGTGCAATGCTAAGCTGTACCAATACTACTACAATAACTAGAGTCGATCAAAATAGCATCATTTGGATGTGGCATACATATTGCATCAATAAATATCTCTATATTATCTATTAGTGGAAGCTGCACTCGTTCTATTTCGCGTACTTGTAAGCATTTGTACTTTAAACATTACAATTGATCAATGTCACTTGGTACTGAGCATAGCATGTACAATTATACATATGACTTTATCTGATTGATCATGACTGCGTGTATCTATGCGTAGTCGAGTATATCTATAGACCATGTAGCTCAGCATAAGAAGATATAACCCTTAGTTAGATCACTTGCGTTGATATCTTTTTTCGCTATCAAAATGATAAAAGTAGTTACTGAATATAGTGAATAATGTTACAGACTGTTAATTGAATATACAGTATTGGTATTTCATTTTGATGTTGACCAGTTAGCCTATCGCTATATTAAGATACAGCAATGTAGGCTAAGATGGATGATATCTTGTAGCAGTATCATTGTAGAGTAAGCAGTACAAATACGACCAGTATGCAAAGGATGACGAGAGTGAGTTCTTGTAGGATACATTAGTACTGGATGTATTTGCATATAACGGATAGAAGCTGTGTATTCAACCTCAACCTGCGAGTTGGATAGCACTTTGATGTTTTCCTTGTTTCATAAAAGTAGTAGTACTGTACTCGTCCATTGAATCCATCAACAGTTGCAATATTGTAGTTTAGACAAGTAGTTTAGATAAGTAGTTTAGACAAGAAATTTCTACCGATCATCATGCATCTCAACAATAACCTATTGATGTGATACAACAGTGGATTGGAAGTCTGCCCTGTCCATCTACCCAATTTATTTTTCAATTTTGTTAAGAGTATTACGATTGATGATACCTATTGTACGTCGTTGCAAGTATTTGTTGTAGAGATAAGTTGACGAGATTGCTATGACCAGACCAGCTGCAGCACCCAGACCAAAATAAATTGATTCATATTTGGAAGTGGATAAAAGATGGATTTCACAAGCCTCTTCCGATAGTGCTTCCATGCTGTATCCACGTCGAATTGACGTTGGAGCCTTATCCGGTAGGTGGCGTTGATCTCTCCACAGTCGGTTGGTGAAGCCAATTGCAATGACGAGACGAAAGTAAGCACTGTCGATTACTGCTCCAATACAGTACAGTATTGAAATGATGACAGTCGTCTATGCGGAAGTAGCCTAGCAGTTGAATGTCAATTTCCGATTTTCTCTTGGTATGATGAACAAGTGTTGAAGTAGGAAGTGAAATTGGCTAATCAATGGTGCACTATCGCACGTCGATGTGTATCCTTGAATGATCAATAACCTTTTGAATTACCCTTGCGTACAGGGAAATGCGATTAGCAGTCCAGTTTCAATTTTCTACGGGAATGATCATTTGCAAGACAGTTGAAGTATTCATTGAAAAGATTGCGGTAGTGCAATCATCATCGATAGCGAAAGCAATATCATCGCATTTGCACCATTTTAGCATGCAGCTTGATTAATTGCAACACTCTTGAGCCCAAATGCGATGCAGTGACGATGGACGTTGTGCAACAGGCTTGGTATCCACTCACTGACAGTCATTGCATGCTTCAATATCAACACCGATGGTTGTCCAGGTACTGCATGTTCGCACAGTACTGTACGACTGTCCACTCACCAGACTGAGTGCGGTCCGGTCTGTCCGGACCAGTCCAGTCCAATCTGCTTATTACAGTACAATGTACCGTGACCTGACTGTGCTCTTGTCAAGTACGGGCGACCAACGGAAGGGACAGAGAGTGCGCAGTGACTTGTCGACAGGAACTGGTTCACAGTACCAAGTACTGTACTTGTCCTGTTCATACTGTGACGTGGATAGTACTGTACACTGTAGAGTATTGAGGGTTGGAAACAATGATACAGTAGTACAGTGCTGTACTGTACTGTATACTGTCGACCCACACATGCTACAGTAATGTACGGCCATATCTGTCTGTATCCCACTAAGACATTATCCAAGAATCGGAGCGTTGAAATTGCAGACTGGACGATGTGACACTGTACAGTACTGTGCGGTACAGTATACATCACTGCACAATACTGTACAGTACTTGCTCTTAGCACCGAATACTGTACTAGTTATGTTCATACTGGAACATGGATAGTACTGTATTGAGGCATTTGAGGGTTGGAAACATCACATGGTACAGTACTAGACAGTACAGTACTGCCACATCTGTCTGACTGTCTGTATCCCACACTGAACAGTATCCAAGAATCGCAGCGTTTCTATTGCAGACTGACTTGTAGACGGGAACTTGCTCACAGTACCAAGTACTGTACTGGTCATGTTCATACTGTAGCATGGATAGTACTGCACACAGTACTGTACTGTATTGAGGGTTGGAAGCAACCATACCGTAGTACTGTACTGTACAGTGTACTGTACAGTACAGTAGTGGACGACCATATCTGTCTGACTGTCTGTATCCCATTAGGACAGTATCCAAGAATCGGAGCGTTTCAATTGCAGACTGGGACGATGTTACTCTGTACAGTACAGTACTGTACTGTCAAGTACGGGCGACAAAACGAAGGGAAAGAGAGTGCGCAGTGACTTGTCGACGAGAACTTTCTCACAGTACCAAGTACTGTACTACTGTAGTCATGTTCATACTGTACAGTAAGATGGAAAGTACTGTACAGTACTGTACGGTACATTGAGGGTTGGAAACAATACAGGACGGTCATGTCTGTCTGACTGTCTGTATGTCATCAGGACAGTATCCAAGAATCGGAGCGTTTCAATTGCAGACGGGAACGATGTTACTACAGTACTGTACTGTACAGTACAACACTGCACTGTACTGTACTGTACTGTACGGTACATTGAGGGTTGGAAACAATACTGGACGGTCGTGTCTGTACAGTACAGTACAGTACAGTAAGATGGAAAGTACTGTACAGTACTGTACGGTACATTGAGGGTTGGAAACAATACAGGACGGTCATGTCTGTCTGACTGTCTGTATGTCATCAGGACAGTATCCAAGAATCGGAGCGTTTCAATTGCAGACGGGAACGATGTTACTACAGTACTGTACTATAGTACTGTACAGTGTACAGTGTACAGTGTACAGTACAACACTGCACTGTACTGTACAGGTGTACTGTACTGTACGGTACATTGAGGGTTGGAAACAATACTGGACGGTCGTGTCTGTCTGACTGTCCATCCGCACTGTACTGTACTAGTGTACTGTATACTGTACTCTACAGACCCGCTACCAGTACTCTGACACCATGGAAGGCGTCAGGCGAAGAATGTCATCACGGTAATGGTACCGTACAGTATTACCGTACCATAGAAATCAAGCGTCACTGCAAGGACGATCGTGTCACCACTGGCTGCCATCCACCTCCCTGCTCAACCCTTGCCAGCTTACCAACGCAAGACACCAATATGGCCGGACCATTGAAAAGGGTTAGTCAATCAATGTCGATATTAGCGTTGATCCATAACTAAATCCAGGCCAAGTCATAGCAGTAAAATAGGAGATAAAACAGTTATAACAGAATAATAGGAATCTGCCTTTTGCGATGCTTATCCATCGACGTCCAAGTTACTGTAACCAATCGTCTCCAAGGGATCCTCTTTTGAAGCTTGTCTAACATTTTTCTCTTTATCTTGACTAAAACAGACAACCAATCTAACTGGATTGGCGGTTGCAACAAATCCTCGTCAGGTAATTTTCTATTCATGATGAGGTAGTCTTACTGTAAAATCATTTTTCAAGCCATCACAGGATACAACTTAAGCAAAATGATTATCCATGTGATTCAAACTTGTCGTCGCCGTTGGTTTCTAGTCCATGGGTCAAAACGAAGAAAGTCCACCACTGATCCATCATACTCTAGTCAACATCATCAATCGAGCTAGCATACAATTGCACAATCAAATGCACTCTTTCATTTTTGTATTGGATACTATTGAAATTGAATATTCAAATGCATACGATTGGATCACAATCAATCAATCAATCTTTTGCACTAACTAACTTCCATATTACTCTTTGCACCACTACCCAACAGACGTTAATATCACTCTATAACAAGGTTTTGACCGCTGTCAGTCAATTGCCACAGGAAGCTGGCTATAGAAGACATACCGAAGAATTAACCAAGAACCGCTTACAGATTGTTGAATCGGTTAGTAAATACAACACTGTCTGTATCCAGATACATTGTTGTGACGATACTAGTCATCGTAGTTTGTAAATTAGTTTGTTAGTCTCTTAAATTGTTGATGACATAAAATGTCAATTGAAAATCTGGCTTAATTATTATCTACATACCACCCGTTACAACCGATTATATTCTGGATAGAAAGCACGAGTCATCCAGACATTGATACAAAATGCTACTGTAATGAACGACTGAATCAACTTGTTCATACGCACTAGGATAACTTTTTACATCCTTGACAATCAATCATCATTATAAAATATCACAATTGACCAAGGTCAATCATGTTAGTAATGGTAATCTATTTCTCAAATTCGCTATGAACCATCATAGGAAACAAATACGGAAATGATTGAAAAAAAAATTAACAGTGGTCAAGTGGAGGAGCTCATCGTCCAGGTTAGTCTACCACTGGAATAGATCGTGCTAGAGTAGAGCAAAGGCAGCCGTAGTCATCGATCTAACAGTAGTATTGATATTGCTTCTATAGGCTGAAAGAGAACTCACACTAGTAGAACAGATGAAAAGTTGGCAACCTTGGCAGCCGTTAGCCGAAGAAGCGCCGTTAAATCAATGGAAATGGCCATAAACGGAAAAGGATATTTTTATCAAATGGCTGACATTCTTGGATGCTTCAGTTTAATAAATGGAATAGCCTATTGGAGTTAGTAAAATGCTAACACCATTAGCAATATAGATGTTTTATCGTTTTTAGTTTAACTTTATCTATGCAGTAAATTACTACCCATCTCGGGTATTATCAGCATTGCAATGATTCCGTAATATCGGAAATTGTATTTGTAATGGAATGCAAAATTATCCTGCTATTTGGAGTAGATTGAGAGTTTAGTGCTCGCAACAAACATACACGTATGCCTGCCATACAAAATGGTATTCATGCCTACTAATCCGGTGACGAAGAAAACTATCGCTAACTTCCAACCAATTTTTCGCCATGCAGTATTATACTGCATATGACTGCTGTACCTTTGACTAAAACAGGAAATGTTACTTTATACCCATTTTTTACTGTCCTAAAGTGTCAATAGTACATATAAATCACTTCTCACAAATGAGAAACCTGATATTTTATCCAAATAAATCCTTGGATATCAAAGATCTTTTATTTTCAAGTCATTGCTTAATTAAAACAGCTGATATTCGAATGAAAAATTGAAAAAACAAAAAACAGTCATTATTATAATTATAGTATATCAGTAAGGTAACATTAGCATGATATTAAATCTAACTAGAGTGTAATTGATAATAATATAATGGTAAGAGGTCGAGATAAGTTTGCATCAAATTGTATAAGAATCATACTTCAGCAATCTTTCCACGCATAGCGAGTTCTGAAAGATCGTAAGCTGATAATCTTACACAATTCCAACACACAGATAGGATTGATAATTTTTATTTATAAGAAGATACTTAGCAAGTTGCTAGAGCGGATAATAAATTCTTTTATTATAGAATATCGGTATCAAGATTTACTTGTAATCCTTTCAGAATGAATCTGTAGCTGCTTCAGTTTTTGTAATACTAATTGATATAGCTTTCAATATAAAATCTTAAAATCTTTCTTATTGGATTGATAGATTCAGTAATCATTAATTTCCCTCCAAAAATACCTAAATGCTTTACTATTAGCGATTGAAATATTGATAAAGGTCAACTTTTGAATACTATGATTGCTTTATCACTAGTCTAATAATTGGATATACAGATTCTCATGACTATGTCTAGAAAGGTTATTTCAAAGTAAATAACTGCGAACTATTGATCCCCTTCTATTTCAATTGAAACAATTAAAAAGTCACTAAAGGGATTCCTATTTCAAATATGATACTATTCATTTGTCCAAGTATTCTTCTCGGAATAAACTGTATAAATACTCGCAAATTGTATATTCTCTGATACTGACAGTATGAGTAAACTTTAATTTATCATAATTTGGAAGATTTTGGGTTGATAGTATATCTTTGCCTAAGCGGAAACAGTCTTTAAAATTTAATTTTGTCCTTCCTTGTAATCCATACGTAGTTAGCTCATTATCGAATGTGATTGCTCCTCCAATGCATTCCAAAATGCAAACTAGTAAGTCCTCATGTATCGGCAATAGCTAATGACAAACAACGCGTATAAGGAAATTAGACAAGAGATAAGTTAAATGAAAATCAGTGCTGTACTCAGTAAATACTGTATACTACGGCAAACATAGTAAGTTCATAATTATATAATTATTTTCATGGCTAAATAGGATTAAGAGGCTTGCTGTAGCAAGATTAATCTTATCGTTATATATTGTGTAGATATTAGATATAGCATCCATGATAGACAAATCAGGACTATCTCTTACCAAGTGTATAATATTGATGAAAACCATAATGGTGGAGATTTGCTCCTGCATTAAAAAATATTGTGTAGTATTTTATACCTTACAGCGGGTGAATTAACCTCATATCTTGCCTTCACTTATAATGATAAGTTATGATACACGTATATTTCACCTCACCTTATTAAGGGTGTATAATGCTTTCTTTGGTGAATCTATATCTTTAATCAGCTTTTCACAGTCACTAGGTCCTATAACGGGTTTCTTCATGTAAAGATGGTGTTATAGATTAGTAAGTAAATGATATAGAAATATTTACCATTGAAAATTATATTATATATACATTAATTACTGAATAATAATTTAAAGTCTTAAATATAAGGTTCGAGCTGATAATTAGTTTATAGTTTGTAATTGCAATTTATATGAATACTGAAAATTATTTTAATTCAAGATAAACTACGCAAAGTTATTAGCATAAAGTTTCAGTGTTTAGAATCCTTTCTCAATTACCGATAACTGTCTTAACCATGACCACATAAGTTGGACCTGCACCGCCATTGATTGTTCATTTAGTAGCTGCCAAGGATTGCATTTACAATTCATTTCATGCTAAAATCAATTGTAATAAGCAATTAAATTTAGTGTACATCATGTACTGTGTATGAGTACTTAAATTAGCCAACAGAGCTAAGAGTATTCCATTTACGTATTGTATTACTCTCACTATCAATAATTTCAACATGATATCTAAGAAAATTGATCGGCTTGGAATGTTACGTACTGTATAATTGTTACAATACCCTTAGTATTGTAAAGTATAAATTTATAATTTTGGACATTAAAATGTGTCTAAGTAAAAATAGGTCTTAAAATAGGATATTTATGTTTTAGAAAATTCTTATGTATTTACTAATATACCGATACCTTACTGATACTCAATTTAGTAAAACTATTATTAGAGTATTTGATATTATGATTATGATTACATGTTTGATCTTATAGTCGCCGAACGTTGTTCTAGACAAGAGTCTTAGAAAAAGTGTGGTAACGTAGGAAAATCTGTTTACATATTGAGTAGGGTAATAAACACTAACGATAGAGATAACAATAATAACATGTTTGTACATAGACGTTTTCTATAAAACCAGAGTTTCTCTTAAAATAAACACAATTGTTGTTAACGACTTTAGTTCAAAACTTGACTTTGTGTCTTAAGTTAATCTACGAATTAATTATCCTGTTTTTTGTTTGCGCTAGCTTAATTTGATAAATGTCACCACTATGCATACAAATACATGCCTAACTAGTTATAATTTAAATATCTTTCTTGCAAACTATTAGCCAAGTCTTACATGACATTCATAACACTTCGCTATCCTGAAATTATACTATTTAATGAAATCGCATCTACGGTGGCTTTCATTTTGCCACGATTTGATAGTAATATTAATGTAATACTGGCAATTTTTAATGTTCAATATTACATTATAGAATACGATGCTCTATTTAATCTCCATGCTATTAAATTTGCAATTGGATGTAGGTATTCTCAATATAACCGTATCACAGAATAAAACGATACGTAGGTTTTCATAAAAGGGTAAAAAAATCTTTTATGCCTATTTAATAAATTTGCTAAATTACTCGCTTTAATAAAATGTGCATTTATAAACTAGTAAATCGTCTAGGTAGTGCTTCGTCATATTAAATATGTGGATAAACCAGCAATCCACGCGTAAATTACAACAATATTCAAAGGGAATTATGAGTTAGTGTTCAAGGTTCCAAACTATGGATAACTTAGTAAAATATTACCTGGAGAAGATCACTACGAGATTGTAAATCGGATCCTGATTGAATACTGTGAGCTGTTAAAACATCAGCAATATCCTTTCGTTTATTCATGGACAAAATAGAATTATGAACCGTGACCGATCTTTTTTCACGATCTTCTTGACAGCTGTTCTCTTCGTCTGTTTTTTTATCCTTTTCTTCTTCAAGACTTTTAGACCGTAGAAATAAAGGCGTATACCCGATAGTATGTTGACCAACCTTAGCATGATTGAGTGGTTGTAATTTTCTATTCCATTGACCTGCTACAGATGCCATGCTAGTGGTTGCTTTAGCTGTTAGAGCAGATTCCAAAATTGTAGAAATCTGATACGATGAATTCATTTTTGTACTTGGCTTTTGGATTATTCTTCTATTGAGAAGCGGAGATGCACCACCCGGTAATTTATTATTTGCTATTTGACTACTGGTATTTTTTGTAGCATTGATTATATCAATGTCACTTTGAGTTTTTTTCATAGACTGATAAACATCATCATCTTCAATATCTTCAGGTATCGCATTATGTGCTTTGGATTTTGAATTTGGTTTAGGCTTTTCCTCTTCTTCTTCTTCTTTCTCTTCTTCTACTTCGATTTCTTCTTCTCCTTCATGAAAGGCATTTAACGAAGATTTTATCTTCTTTTTATTGTAGTACTCCCCAGTTTTATCCAAACCATTAATCATAACTGGAGTATCTCTACGCCTTAAATGCTTTGCCGATGCTATAGGATTATCTTCTTCTTCCTGAGATTCAGAGGACGAAGTAGAAGCCTTCTTTTTACTTTGACGAGATTTCTTATTATTTTTTTTTTCAGCGATAGCTTCATCAATATAATTCTTAAAAGATTCATAAACTCCATCTATGATCTAAAATTGAATTGATTATTAATCATTTGCAAGATGGAGTTTCTAAACTATAAAGATTTGAAAACTGATTATTAATAATTTATAATATATTATTTTACGTTAGCAAATAAATTTTGCCTTAGCATACTACCAATATTATTCCAATTACACAGAACGGAATAGCTTACTTTAGGAATAAAACGCAATCGTTTGGCTTCTAAACCATGTAGTAAGTGCGACTGGCGTATTAGAGATTTTGATAAGTCTAGATATCTTGGTTTTTCTTCACTGCAATGTAGAGTCAAAGTAAGTATACAACGATATATATCTAAATTCAAATTAACGACATTGTGAATAGAAGCTAGTTTATCATTAATAAATTGAATAGAATCGACTTCCAGTATTAGTAAAATAGCTTTTATGGAAGCGACAAAATATGCTTAAAATCCTTTATTGGAAATCGTAATTTTAACTAACCAGGCGGGAAAGATTATCCATAAATTCTTTATGAAGCTATAAAACTGATGAACGCATTCAATTTGCCCTCGTGTTTGGATTGCACCTCTCCTATATTAAGTTTAAATAATGATATTAAATCGACCATCGAAAATTATCAGCCAGGAAAATCAAAACTCAATCTCATAAGAACTGCATCCTAATACTAAACTTATCAATTATTATAATTTTATGCAAGATAAAATTTAAATCCTGCATAATGTATCATTCGAACATTAAATTAGAATATATATTTAATATCAACTACCGTTTAGATCGAACAAAATGGATCGCTTGATTAGAGTCCATCTTTTTGGAGTATATTAAATAGCATGCTATTAATACTCCTGTTCGACCTAAAATGTAATCAAAATTGCTAAATTTAAATTGAATGCATAAAAGAAATTTTGATAGCAATTCAGGATTAAGAAATTAAAATTTTCTTCCTAGCGAATTACCTAGTCCAGCATGGCAATGAACGGCCACCTAAAGTGTTTTAATTTTGGTTCATTAGATGGATTAGACTAACAGAAATTTAAGGATTGAAGAAATACACGTAAAACACGAACTGACCTTTCCTTCTTGAATTGCAAAGTCCATAACCTTGACCATGTCAAGTATTGAATGCAATGATCTCACACCGTAATCGTCCCTATAATATAGAGATTTCATGATACCATTTATTAGCCGGCAAAGCAGTTGTTTGGAACACGAACATCTTGAGAATTAATCAAATTATGACTGAAATTATACTATCATTTCGAATTGTTGTTTAGAGCAAGGTTTAATCTTAAGCTTGGAGATAATGTTTACTATGCTTATTTTAATTATGAAAATAGAATGGAAGGAAAGACTCACCATATAAAATTATAGAAAAATACTGCATAAAGAAAAATAAAGATTTATCGATAGATTAGTCATTTCAAAAATATTAAAAGATAAATGTTATAAGAGTAGAATAGAGGAAATAATTCAATAAATATATTTTTCTAATTAATGAATAAATCACTCTTAGCATATTATCGTAGCAGCTATATTTCTAGAAAATAATACGAACTGTCTTCATCCATGAATGCCTGAGGATTGTATGAAAATCCACTTGAATCTAAACCATAGCCACAGTGTAAATGTTCTCCGACATGCTGCAGGTTTACAATGGATGTTATACCAACACTAAAATAATGGCAGATAGTGGAAGACAAAAACCAAATTTACTGTTTACCGAACTAGGTTGTTCTTTAAAACGGAGTACGCATATTATTTGTAGAGTTGAAAGCTTACTCATGAAATCGTTGCATCATATTAAACATTTCTATATTCCGCGTATTTGGTCTTGCCATAGCTAAAATTGAATCTGTAACCCTATATTCATAAAAGTATAGCTTATACTACTGCAAAAAGTTGTAAGAGTCCAGCATAGAATGGTCTATAAGCATGGTATTCAGATATTGCTCCATTTTGGGGATATCTTAAGTTAAAAAGTAATTACTAAAATAGCGTTTTAAGCTTTTCCAAAGTAATCAATATCAACTTATTCAATTTCCTTAGAAATGACTATCGAAATTTCTGTTTATGCATAAATATTTATCATATTGGCCAGTAAAATATTGATATAAGACTTAGTAGCAGCTATCGTTCAGTCATTGTTGATGATATTAATATTCGGGATGTGACCAAGAGGAATAAAGTAAGAGTAATCTGTTTACTGTTAGATTATAACAATACTGTACCTGTACTACTTGTACTGTAAACATGTTTATTAGCACAAAATATACTAAGCACAGATTATTTTGACTAACTAAACTCGTAGACCATAAAGTTACGACGATGGTGTAGACATCCAATTGAATCAATACCGCAAGTAACTAATTATAGATCTAGTTTGACGAAAATAAGGTAGCGTTCATCATTTGATAAATTTATTCTCAATTATCAAAAAAAGTATAGCTTGTTTACGATACTAATAAACAAAGTCGGCATTGTAACGAAGCATAATTAAAAAAATTGATGGCAAAGTTATAATTTAGGTTATAGATAATATTAAAGTGTTTAAAATACTGTATTAGCCAAGATGATACACGTACCAGTGTGAAAACAACCCATTTATTGCCATGTCATCATTATTCCATCTTGTTCCGCTTTCATATTTACACCCTTTACCACCACAGAACAATTTACACTGCAGGCCACTAGGAGCCAAATGGCGCACTGACTCTGTAAATTTAGAGTACTTAGGTCCAACATCTATAAATGCTTCTGTTTGATTACTCTTGGTTACATTTGCTGTATTCCATTTAATCTGTCCTTTTCTATCAACCGTTTTGGCTTCCGTGTGATCCATACTTTTCACATGTAAGATTGGAAGCCGGTTAGTTTGCTTGTAATTCAACCATTAGGCTCTTAAGATATGCAAGAAAAAGAGTTATTATTTTAAGTTTAACAACCGCTTTAATCGCTTTTGGAAGTGTGTTTAATCAAACAAAAATGGTGGAATAGTTTACAATTTGAAAGAATGAGAAATCGTTACTCCTACTTATAAAGAAAAATTGCTCTAAATGGTATCAGAATTAAATACGTTATCCTTGGATTAATAATACTGATATGAAGTTAGTTTATCTCTTAACGCAAAACTTTAAATCATAACTTAGTAAAGTAATCAGCTATTAATCATGTAATAAGTTGAATACAGTTTCAATACAAAGAAGAATCAAAAATTTAACGACAGTAAAATTACCTTGTAGTCTAAAATAGTTACGAAAGCATCTGTATCGAATAAACTTGATCTAACTTTCTGTTTGAAGAACAGGATGGATATAGTTGTTTGCTATGACGCTATGCGTGCTATGGCAATTTATTCAATACGCACGGTAAAAGTTATAATATCTACTAAATTACTTTGTACCATGCAATGGAAGTTTGTATACAGACTGTAACCCCTTTACTGGAATATACTGGTTCAAGCAATCTATAATGATTTCTACTTAGCAAATGGAATCGATCTACTATAATCTATAACTACCGTAATATTTTAATATTAATAGTTGACAAACCAGCATAAGACTGTTTGGAAACAGAGGCAATAATTCATAGGATTTGACCAGAACATCTTATCCATTTATTGGATTGCTCATCCGAAAGCCATAATATTATTTCGGATGTATCCATAGCAACAGACCATGCGTAATTAATATCCCATTTTGTAGTTGTCCAATTAAATTCTATTTCGGCTCTCATCTTCGTAAGCTGCTAAGGAAAAAAATGCTAGTACGAGTAGGATATGTTGCATTAATTCTATAATCGTATTCGTGATTTATTATTATGAAAACCTCGCGATATGATAATATACTCTCTCTTTCTGCGATTTGAAATTACGCTTGAGCTTATGACACTATGGTAACGGATTGGCGAATAGTTATTTATGAAAGAGGGAAGACATACAACTGATTAAGGACATCCATGGTTAAAGATGATACACAACTGTGCTATTAATGTACAGCTGTTGCAGCGTTATTTACTATTGTCATGATATTGAATGAGTTATTACTATATTTAATGTTTATATTTTACCATAGATACTGCAACAGATTGAATTGTCTTTTTACTCGGTCACAGTTTAAGTATCCAACTGGTGCAATTCTGTCTAGACGATAATGATAGTTAAAGCACGACTAACTATCGTGCTATTTACATTAGGTAATTATAATTAATCAGAAAGCGCAGTAGTCAATTCACTGAGTGAATGTAAGATTGGCTACCATTAGAGGCCCATAACTGTCGGGTAGTATGCTATAGTTATTGTTGTCATCATATGACAAAATTTTACTAGCTATTATTTCAAGCCATAAATGAATAAATAGCTCCGCATTTTACCTTTCATTAAGAAGGCATATCTACTATTGTAGATCTTACAAATATGGAAGCTTATGACATGACTATTTTCAATCACCTTCGATGTACAAATGTGCTTTCTATCATTACATATTCTATGCATTTTATCTGACTTTTGTAGTATTATGCCTCAGTTATCGTAACTTTAAAGAATAAAAATAGCAAATAATAATGTGTTTATTGAATGATATAAGAAGTGTAATTCTTAACGTGATATCACGAGTTACTATAGCATAGAGTTACCGCGATGATGAGTGCTGCAAACTTTTCTGCTTTTATAACAAGGAAAAATTAACGAGAGCCTTCAGATAGATTCATGAGCTTACAGATATCACCAATATATAACAAGGAATAGCATATTAGAAAAATTTATTCAGGCAAACATTTCGTCTATAGCCTCTTTTATAGACCTGCATATTACAGATTTCATGGTAAAAGTAAATAGACTACTATAATCTGAGTAGAATGGATTAATGTCCTAAACGGTATAAAGTTACTGAACCTCTGACAGGTCTATCAAATGGTAATACTATCTGTTAAATGAGCACATTATCGTAAACCGTCAGTAAAGCGACGGGAGTTTGTACTAGTATCCTCAGAAATGAGTGAAGAATGAATAAATAAAATACTAATAAAGAAGTAATGAACAGCAGCAATAATTCAACGGCAATGGCTCTAATTGATCCTGTATTCAGCTAAAATTAGATAGTATGTAAATCTATATTCCATTAATGACGGAGTAAAGATATCGTAAATCAGTTTTACTTCTACGACGAATTAGAAGGATCCTATTTTTGGATTACGTTGTTTCCTATCTTAAGATATATAGAGAGCATCCAACTTGGCTCTATGCCAAAATAGGAGGCACTTTAGTATGGTAATTCAAAGCTTTAAACTATATATAGAGTTTTTTGTTACATTTTAGAATGACTGTTCAATAAATCATCTTTTCAACAAAGTGATGCATAGTGAATTGACGTTAACGTTAATGCATTATAGCAGTAAGCTAGATGTGAAAAGTATTCTTATTACATAACATCAATCATAGCGGCTACGAATCGTATGAAAATACGGGTTAGAATCAATAGCAGATTAGCATTAAAAGCAGTAAAGAAAAACTTAAACTTCGGATAGGACTTTCGTATAGGTCGACATCAAATACAGGCTCTGATAGTGATTATCATTTCATTAATATTTCTATGCTATTAAGGCACGCTAAATAGTCGTTCTCCAATAGCCTTGTACAATATGACATTATTTGTAACATGGAGTAAAAGATATTGCAGATCAACATTTCGTGCTAATCATCGAAAATTTGTGTTCAGTCAAAGGTAGATTAACGACAAAAACTGTCAAGTAAACTGGAGATATTATGCAGTGAGCCGTATTCAACTGTATGTAGATAGATTAAATCTACATATACGCTCCAATAGCATTGCAAAACATCAAATCAATCTGAAGATGGAATAAAATATTTCAGGCCAATTAATCCGCCAATTCCAATAGCCTTGTACGACATGATATCCATTTTAAAAAGGAGTAAAGATATTTTAAATAGAATGTTGGCATAAAGTTCACTAGTCTTGCTAACCTAATGTTCATTTTAAGAAATTGTACAGTAAACTGAAAGCACTGAATCAGATCCTACTATGTATCGATCAGATGTTGTTACACGCTCCAGTAGCCTTGAACAATCTTGTACCTATTTTAAGATTGAATAAGATATTTCAGATCACGTTTGTGGAAAAGAAGGCTTCAATCGTACCTTAGACTAGAATGTTGTTGACGAAACATGCCATAATTCTTTGATATTTTGCTCTATTTCTTTGAATAAATGCAAATGGTAATAAGCCAAATAAGAAGGCGCACAGAACTTTTAGATCACATTCCTGGAAAGGAAGGATCTAACACTCAGAATAGAGTTTTATTAGCGCAACATGCAATAAGAGATCCCTTTTGATATATGGCGGAATTATTTTCACGGCATTAATTTCCGTAACAAATTTCTAGTAATCCGTGCAATAAGAGATCCCTTTTGATATATGGCGGAATTATTTTCACGGCATTAATTTCCGTAACAAATTTCTAGTAATCCGTGCAATAAGAGATCCCTTTTGATATATGGCGAAGTTATTTTCACGGCATCTCTACATAAAAAGTCACGTATTTTATTAATTAACTAGACCTCATCTCTATTTTGAACGAAGCATGCAACAACCCTTTGATATTGTGCTTTATTTTGTTGAATAAGTGACCACCAGTCAAATAAGAAGTCAAACAATATTTCAAATCACGTTCCTGAAAAGAAAGGATTCAAAAGCTCAGACTAGAGAGTCTTTTTAACGAAAAATGCAATAACCCTTTGATACCGTGCTCTATTCCGTTGAATAAGAAGCAATAGAGAGAAGGTAAATTTAATGAAGAAAAAATGAAGTTATTGAATCAATTTCTACATTGAAATCGTAGACAGTCTAATCTATTCAATTTTGATAACATTTGTCTTCCAAAATTGGACATGGATACTTTCAATCAAGTTGGCAACAGTAGTACATCAACTCCATGGACAACATACGCGTAGAATGATTTCTTCCTTCAAGAAGCTTGATGAAGTCTATGATAGTTAAACACACATCATTCATCAACTTGGCTACTAATTTCTGGTTGTTATAGCGTGGATTACTGATGCCATTACTTTCGCTAGTCGTGAATCATTAAGATTTCGAGAACATTTCTTCTACTGTATAGTATTATTTATATCCATAGGTTGGTTGTCCTTATGTAATATATTACTATATAAAAATAGACAGTAGACAAGGCTTGTGAAGGCTATCATCTATGTTGTGTCAGATTGGGATTAGTATCGTTGTTAATGTTAGATTGGAAGAGATTGCTGTAGGAAAGACTGCCAAACAACAACATGGTCGCTAGCAATCCATGCATCATTTCTACCGTGTTGTAAAATGGCTACTAGAGTTTTTGTATATCCTGCCTGATGTCGCCATTCTGCCTTGATTAACATGGCTACTCTAGTCAAACAATAGAGTGGAATTGTCTTTGATGATGGAATTCTTCACCTTAAACTATTGTCTTGTTAAAATAACTTTGAATTTAAAATGGAGCTTTACAACGCTAATTATCCACTGTACAAGAGATGGATTATCGTATTAAAATGGTTGTTATTGAGGTCATTGGCAACGATTGAATTTTCATTAATATAGAAATGGCCAATTTTAGCATGATATCGCAATGATAGGAGAAAGAATGGCGATGATTGGATTGGCCAAGTGAAATAGGATAGCACTCCAAATAAATTGGATGTTTTTATCGTTAATAAATCATTTTGCTAGCGTTCTCCATTAGGCTTCTATTGAATAGTAAATTAACATAACAGATCGAAAAGATCGTCTCATTAAAAGAGTACTATTCAACTAAAATTTAATTGATGATAATTAA